AAATATGACGGCTCAAAATGTCCCATGTTCTCCCTGAAAAAGAGAAACAAGCACATCTATCTCATTTTGGCTCTTTTGTTCACAACTAAACATGCAATGATCTTCCATTTTTGCATTCAATTTTTTTCTGTGTGTACAAATTAGTGTGTCTTCTCTTTAAAGGAGCAGTCTGTAAGATATTTAGTGCCTGCAATTATAAAATGACCTCACTCTATGATCAGCGGGCGAGAGAAGTGGTTCAGATAGAAGTGATTGTACCCGACCTAAAAAGCCTCTGCATGTTTCTAATAAGCTCCACGAGCAGAAACGTGCTCAAACTAGGATCAATATTGGAGATGCTTTTGAAAAATGGAGAGAGGTTAGAACACAGAAAGGTTTACAGACCCATGCAGAGCTGGATAAACACTGAAGCTTCAGAGTCCACCACATGGTGACCTGAGTGAGCATCACTCTAGAGAGGAGGGAGACAGCTCTCTACAATGTTTAGAATTTTGACTGCAGTACTCATTTTAAACACTAGGTGTTAGAGTTACATACTGCTCCTTTAACTTTTTAAAGTTTTGCCAGTTTAAATTCTGCAAAGTTAAAAGTACAGACACTCTCTTCTCCCATTGCTGCTTGAACTCATTACATTAACTCACAGACTGTGAAACATGTGCTCAAACATTAATGAAGAGATTTCATGCAGATCCCTTTAGTTGAGTCGTGCGTTCTTAATGGCAGTTTGATCTTAAATATGCATGCTAGAGATGCTGTAAAAGGAAGAAGCAGGAAATCTGAAGCTGACTTCTGTAAAAGCAGTTTTTTTACCTCTCATGTTTAGCCTTTTAATGTTCTTGGTTTTACTGTAGTGAGAGAACGAATGCAGCCTTTAATGAAGGACTTTGTTTTTATTGGCCAGTTGTCGTCTTTGGGGGTGGCAAAGAGCATCCTGCACCAGGTGACTGCTGCCTTGGCTGTTGCTGAGCAGGAGCTGCGCTTCGAGCACAGGTACACACACACACACACACACACACACACACACACACACACACACACACACACACACACACACACACACACACACACACACACACACACACACACACACACACACACACACACACACACACACACACACACACACACACTCAAACAAATTAAAACAACTTTTCTTATCTGTGTCCTTTCGCCTCCAGCACATGAAGTCAGACACAGTGTAATATTTTATATAAACAAAAGTCTATATGTAGTCAGAGAAGCCTTTAAAAATGTGTCTCAATTCTCAGCGCCCCGTGTGATATTTTCAGATCTCATGTGTCCAACAAAAGGATTCAAAGCACATCTCAGTTAAGAGTCTGTGCAATAACTTATATTTTATTGCAAATAGTTACAAATATGTGTAAAAAAAGAAATGGATATATATATGTAAGGTTTATTTTTGACCTTTTTATGCCTATATTGTAGAGGTAGGAACGTGGATAGAGGAGTAAATCAGCCCAGCTGCAGCCCGCTCTGAGGACTACAGCCTCTGCACAGGGGGCGCCCACACTAACCTCTTGTCCAACCTTTTGTAATGCTTCTGCACGGGACTACTGAAGCTAATGACGATAAAGTATCTACCTCTCTTATCTACCGACCAACTTAGACAACTTAAACTCTTAAAGTTAAAACTTAAAAGGAGCCGGAACCACAAAGTTTGACTGTATGTACTTAAGAAACGTTGGTTTGATGAATCTACACAGTGACTATTCCAGCTTTAATTATCATGATCAATGGAGCAGACATGCATATTACTCTATTACTGCCTAAATGAAAGCATGAGACTCTTTATGATTTATTTATTTTTAATAATAAGAACCCATTCAAGCTGCTTCCTTGCTGTAGTGTTTAGCTCACAGCTGAGATTCTGACATCCAAAGATTAAAACCACAAACAGTGGAGTTGAGCTGCACACGTTAAATGTGCTGCATGTTGATCTTGACCTCATGAGGTGTGATAGTGTGGCGCTCTTTAGGCGTGAGCAGTGACACAGATGGTGTGTGCATACGGTGTCAGTGTGATGGATGGTATGTCGGTGTCTGGTTACAGTAACTTTACCCCCCACCCCCCCCTCTGTGCTGTTCACCTCAGAGACCTCCACTGGGGAAACGTCCTCGTCAAAACGACCAAGCAGAAGACGGGGAGCTTCCTGTTGAACGGAGCGGTCCACTCTCTGGAAACCAGAGGGGTGCTGGTCCGCGTCATCGACTACTCTCTCTCCAGACTAGAGATCGGTAATGACTGAAACTTTGGTGCACACAATCTTTAACCCTTTAAACGTGATGATGATGATGATGATTAGTAACGACCTCCTGCACATGTCTCTCTCTCTCTGCAGATGATCTGACCGTGTCCTGTGATATCTCCAATGACGAGGAGCTTTTCATGGGACAGGGGGATTACCAGTTTGACATCTACCGACTGATGAGACAGGACAATGGGTCAGTGTGTTTATCAAACATACATCCTATTAATCACATGTTTAATTATATAAGGAATGTGTAGGATAACAGAGACGCTATCAGAGTGAATCAATATGTCGTCTAGAAATGCAAGTCAGCAGCGAGGTCATAGGAAAGGCCGACTTCACTGTACTGGCTCAGCTAAACATGATGTTTGAATGAGGGGTCAAATGGTGAAGGAATAGTTTGACTTTTTTAAGAGATGCAAGAGTTGGATGAAAAGATGGAAACTATTTTAAAATCTGTCCGCTGACTTCGACCCTACAGCCACAGCTGGTTAGCTTAGCTTAGCATTAGCAACTACCGGGTTAGGGTAGATAATGTTTCAGATGAGAAGGTGGTTTGGGACAGAAAACGGGGAAATGCAAGTTCAAGGAAATTTGGCTTCTAGATGAAAAATACATGGACCGCTTGTCAGAGGAAAACAACGATTATGAGGCGACTTGTAGGAAATTTAATCTCAAACTCTGGACAATGGGAATCAAACCCTAACCTCGGTTGAGTCCCATGTGAAATAAAAAGTGAACACAGACACTACAGGGTGCAAAGAAATGGTGTGAATATTTCTTTTGGGTTCTTATCTTGTCTTGAATTGATTTTTAAAAAGAACACAACATGTCGGAGTTCACGTGTGATTCATTCTTTGTTTTTCGTCGATCTCAGAAACAACTGGAGCACATACCATCCTCACACCAACGTGCTGTGGCTCCACTACCTGTGCTCCAAGCTGCTCTCCATGAAGTACCGCGGCAGTGGAGGGAGGGGCGCCAAGGACACGAGAGAGGAGCTCAATCGTTTCCACGACAACGTCCTCCAGTACGGCTCTGCCACCGAGGCGCTGCAGACCTGCTCCATGTTTCAGTAACAATGTGAGGCCTGTCCTTTCATCTTTAGCCCCGCCCATCATCCTCATTGACCTCCTGTTATCGAGCCTCTTGTGACACGACAGCAGGGATGAAGGTCGCTTCATGTACAGAGCACGCAGAACACTTATTAAAACGCTGTCTGAAAGTTTGTTCACGCCTGTTCTCTCATTGCTTGTATGTTTTTTAGAGTTGATTAGGTCCCGTTTTCTTTTTTAAATGCTTCTTAAATATTTATATATAGAGAGAGAAAAACAGTATGACGTTAATAAATTAAACTCGTCTGAAAGTCGTGTTGGAATCACTACTTTTTACATGATTGATGAAGTGATCTGTTGTCGTATCTGGAGCCGCTTTCAGATTGATTTTTTGTCTAAACTCAGCTCAGCCCTCAGCACGTCTTGTATATAATATATATTCAAATTGATTCTGAAACGGCATGCGATCAGTGTCCTAGTCTGTGAAATCAGATTGCCTGTCAGCGTTTTGGAGGCACAGAAGGAGCTCCACACACACACACTGTGCTGTACTGCGCTCCCCCGCTGGCTCTGCTGTCCCACCTCTGTTACTACCTACAAAGACAGTACAGAGGGGGGGGTCACTTTGTCCCACCATTAGGTTTCCTCAACGTTCATATTGGAAGGCGAGAAGTTACAGGGGCACAAATATATCGCAGCTTGAAACTTAATTAATGGTAAATTTAAAAAATCAGCTAGCTCGAAAAATGGATCCTTTCATGAATTTTTTTTTAAAGATTTATTTTTGGGCTCTTTGTGCCTTTTATTGGAGAGATAGGACAGAGGATAGAGTTGGGAATGACATGCGGAAAAGGAGCCACAGGCTGGATTTGAACCTGGGCCGCCCACTTGGTGGACTATAGCCTCCGTACATGCGGCGCTCACACTAACCACTGCTCCACCAGCGCCCCGATCCTTTCATTGATAAACCAGAAATCAAAGAATGTTCTGCAGTGAGGAGTTCTTTCTCTAGTTTATGAGATTACAGAACGATTTCTAAATGACTGTCTTCAGGATTCTCACTGTCGGTTAAACAAGGCGTCTCCTTTGGCTCAGAAAACTGGGGATGTGGATCATTTTCTGACATTTAATTTACCACATTTATATAAAAAAAAAAAAAAAAAGGTTGACAGCTTCTTTATAGTGAAAACGATTTCAGATGTTATCAGGATACCGGACACAACGTGTTACAAGAGACAAAACAAAAACAACGAAAGGCCTCATGTTGATACAAGATGTGGCGGCAGTAGATGAATCTGTAGGGACTTAGGTTGGGAACCAGAGGGTTCAAGTCCCGGACTTGGAAGTGTGGTAGCTAGAGAGGTGACAGACTTTTTATTTTTTATGTCTTCATTTAAAGACGGGGCTGAAATCAGGGCGAGAGATCGAGTGGGGAATGACATGCGGGAAAGGAGCCACAGGTCGGACTCAAACCTGGGCTGCCCGCTTGAAAGATGACAGCCTCCACACGTGGTGCACACTAACCACTAGGCCACTGCCACGCCTTCAGCTGCTGTTTGTTTTTTTTAAAATCAATAATCTGTACCTCATTCCTTTTTCAATACCGTTTACAATCACACAGATTTGTATGCACACAATCCGTTTTTTAACACCTGTGTTAAAAGAAGAGTCTCGTACAAAAACAAAATACTTTTATTCAATTTGTTCATTAAGAGTATCATACATTTTTGCATTGGAACAAGCTTCATTTTGGTATGGTGAGAGTCGTGTGTGTCCGGTTTGTTTTTGACGAGGATCTTGGTTGAATACGTCGGATGCTTCCATACTCAAAGAGACGCTTTGTTCATCGTAATAAAAATGTACATTTTGCCCGGACTGAACGTGGGATGAGATTGGAGCAGAGGTTGCATTTTTTTTTTGTTTGTTTGTTTTTTTTGTTGTTTTTAAAAGGAAGACTGCGTTTAAAAAAAAAAAAAGAAGAAAGATACGGAGACATTCCAAACTATACAAACAAGATCCGGCAGACCTTTGTTCTGAGACGAGGTCAGGCATGTGTTCGAGAAGCACTTTTTGGTTGAGCTTTGAGGCAATGTTTGAGATGGCCTTGCTGGTGATGAGCCCATGTGTGTGTTGATGTGTGTATGTTCCTGTGTGTGTGTGTTGGAAGCAAACAGATGTGTATAAGAAGCGATGAACTGTATATGAAGAAATGTACTTGCAGTTGCTGTGTGTGTGTGTAGGTGTGTGTGTGTTTATGGGTGTTTTTGTGCTTAAAAGGAGAAGTATTTTGTGAACCACTCCTGCTTCAGACCCTCTGTCCCTCTCTGCTCCAGGTACGGGCCCCTAGAAAAACAACAGAGGAAACACATTCATTGACTTTACAGTAAGAATCATATCTAATATTTAAAGTGTTGGCTTGTAGATTGATGGAAACTGAGAAACACCAAAGAAGCTGCACAATTCTACAATTCACTTAGCAGACGCTTTTATCCAAAGCGACGTACATCAGAGAGTAAGTACAACACAAGCGAGGATCTAGAGAGGAGGAAACCATGTCAGTAAGTGCAAACGGGGGATGACCCTGATGAAGGCCACGAGCCGAAACACGTCGGTCTAAATTGTTAATAAAGTTGATCTTCTTACTACAAGTGTTGCTGGAGCATGTTGACCTCTTCTAAGCCTTTCACTCTTCATGCACCTTTTCAGTTGGCGAAGTTTGTGCCAGAAAATCCTCTTTTTCTCCAGTAAGTGCAAACGAACAGCTTTATGTTCGATCAGGTGCTGACAGGAAGTGACTAGAGGCAGAGCACAACATCGACGGCTGTTCTTAAGAGTTCTAATCAGCATCAAAACCGTCCTAAATATCCTCATCATCAGTATCATTAAGGTCGTAGATATTTGTAAAGAGCTGGGTCTTAAGCTTTTTTCTTAAAGGTGCAGAGGGACTCTGCAGATCCAATGGAGTTTGGTAGTTCATTCCACCACCGGGGGGCGACAGAGGAGAAGAGTCTAGCTAGAGACGTGGACCTGGACGAGAGCGTTTAGGGAAGGAGGAGCCGTTTCTTGTCGCTGCGAGAAGTAAATGGGACAGGCCGGGTTCGAGAACAAAATGACTAAAGGTGCATCTGAGATTTTAAAAAAAAAGGGGCGCAGCTACAGCGATCGGCAACAGCAATGAAAATCAGCGTAGGTGTTATGGGTCCCTCGTGGACCCCGGTGAGCAGACGGGTCACATGCACCTGTCATGACCATCAGATCAGAGCGATGTAACAAACACGATCTGAGTCACTCATTTGAAAGCCTTGATTATTAATTGTACAAAAATCTGTTATTTTTTGCACCTATTTAATTGAGGGTGCAGAAATTAATGTCATGCATGTCATCTCCCACTTGTGTTTTTTCAATTGTGACATCTGAGCTTGGATTTTTAAAAGCGTCCTTACCTGACTGAATGGGCTGGCAAGACGGCGACACGTAGCGGATGCCCGTCTGCGCCGAGGGGCAGACGGGGAGCGGGGCGGTGGGCGCCGGGGTGGGAGGGATGCAGGACGTCCGGGATCGGGTGGAGCGAGGGAGGGTGGGGGAGGACTGTTGGCTGAGGGAGAGGGAGGTGTGCTTGTGTGGAAGAGAGGAGGAGGAGTAGTGGGGGGAGGTCTGAGGGTGGGAGGAGGACTGGTGAGGGAGGGTGGAGGAGGAGTGCTGATGGACAGAGGAGGAGGAAGACGACGAGGAGGACTGGGGGAGGAAGATGCTCCTGTCGTAAGCTGCGGCGCTGGAGGCGCTGGTCACCCGAGGGGGAGACTCAGCACGCTTCTTCTGTTTGATTAGAAAAACAAAAAAAAACTAATGTCAGGGTAAGAATCTAAAAAATGTAGTTTCTGTAAAACTTAAATCTTAAACCTGCATTCTCTGTAATGGCCAGCAGGGGGGGGCTCAACAGGCTGCACAAAAAAAGAGCCAGGGGGTAACAGATGTGAAAATAGTGATTACTTTTAATTTGATTTATTATATTTGTAAATCAAAATTCATAGGGGTGGGTTCACACATCCACAAAAACTACCAAAAATCCCCCAAATATTCAGGGTGCAGCTGCATGTGTGAACAAAAAGAAAACTCTTGATGTGTGAACGCAGCAGTTCAAAGACATGAAAACTGAACGCACGCAAACAGGAGGGAGTGATTTGTTTATACGGCGGATACATCCAAAACACTTAACCCCCAAGTTGCTCACACTGCTTAGTCGGTGGTGTATGAATGTGTATGAATGGGATTAGTTTACACTGATGGACAATTTACACAGCAGCCTCTACCATCAGGGTGTGAATGTGTAGGAGTCAGAAGACTGGAAAAGAAATATACAAGCTCAAGTCCATTTTCCCATTTTCCCATTTAAACCCCCTCCCAATGGATCAAGATGAAGTCTCCAGCTGCGTTCTCACATCAGCTCACTCAGACTTCATGTGGAACATTTTATCAGGAGGCTGGCAGGAGAAACTAATTGTTTGTGTTGTGAATATCCAAATTCTGGGGATTCTGTTTCATGCAGTTAAATGTCATTTTGTGTAAATCTAAGTTTGGGACATTTCTGTGTTTAAACATGACAGATGTATTCATGACTGTCATTAAGGGATCGACACTTTGAGAAGCTACATATAAGAATTTAAGAAGAAGGAGGCACAAAGCTCGCTCTGGATGCTGCCTCTGTTATATGCATCTTGAATCTGCATACTGTGTATATATATTTCTATGTAGTGTTTCCTTTTCACCACTGGGTGTTAAAAATATGAAAAAATGTTGTAAATATGTGTAAGTACAATGATCGGAAACGTTAATGTATTGCAATAAAAGTATAAAAAAAAATAAAAAAATGTAAGAAATAGATATAAAAGTCAAACACATTTCGTTAGTAGGAGTAGCAAAGGCTGCGTTCACAGGACAGCTGGATGTCTTTCGCAGCAGAGTGACGGACACTGAGCAGTTTGGCTCCGGCCCCAGCGAGCGCTTCTGGCCGCGAGGCGTCCGGGCTCTGATGTAAAAACATTTGTGCCTGAGCAGAACAGACAAACTCACCCTCATGGTTGGCGTGGCGCTCCCCGGGCGGGACTTGCTGTCACGATGCCTGAGGGTGCTGTTGTCCCCGGCAACAGGAGGGTGGAGCTGCAGCTGATGCCTCTCTTCCTGGAGGGAAGGAGGACGAGGAAGGACTTTTGTTCATTGGCCTCGTTCACAGTTGGTGTTTGTTGTTGCTTTTTGTGTAAGCGTTGTTGTCTGGAGGGTGAACTTGTTTGCCTCATGCTGCACAGATGGCTCACACACACACACGCTGGCAGAGGACACTTCTAAAAAACATGAGATTCTCTCCTACGCATGTATGACTCAGACGATCAATGGAGGCACTGATCCAACTGGAGCAGGCGAGGTCGGTGAAGAACATTTCTATTTTTTTTTTTTTTTAAACGTCTTCCTCATAAAGTCAGTCTTACTTGATTCTCTTGATCACAACTCTTAGAAGTCACTCCAGAAAATCCACCTGGCAGCTCATTTTGCACCTTAACCCGCATGTTTCCTACTTTGAAATGGAAAACTGTATGATGTATCAGACTGTTTGGGAGCTTTTTTTTTTTTTACCATATTACACAGATTTTAATTTTTCAGCAACAGTAGATGATGACAAAGACAGAAAACTTTAGGCTAAAGAGGAGGGGGGTGGAGCTTCACAAACATTATATCAGAGCACAGCAGCTGCAGGGTATGCATGCTAACCACTAGGTCATAAGGACACAGCAGCGTTATATCGAGAGAAGTCCCAGCAGCGCTCTGATTACTGGAAAGGTCGTTCCTGGCAGCACATCAGAAAACAAAAGCTTTTTCCATCGATGCATTCCTGAAAATTTCTAGAATATTTCCAACAGGCTGCTCCTGAAATCTTCCTTCTCAGGAGGAGGTATGTGACGTAAAAAGGACGACACAGGAGCGGCAGATGAGGCAACACAGTCACACTATATGATGACAACTTCTGGCTTTATATCAAAGTATGTTAGTGCTACGTGTAGGTCATCGTATTAAACGTAATGAAGTAGTTTCAGGACGCTGACATACAGTATATATGGTGGTGCGCCAGTCGCTGGATATCAAAGTCCTCACCACCTCCTACTCACAGCTCACCCCGACTTCACGCTGACTATTTACTAGAGTGGCTGAAATATTCCAGGTAAAGTCGAGTAGAACAAATTTGACTCCCACATGCAGCTCTCCCTCGAAGATTTCAGGAGTTTTGCGCTTAAATCTGCTCATGAGGATGGATCAGCAAGTAAGTGGACTTTGAGTGGAGGTTCTGCATTTTCTTTTTTTCCAAACACGAGAATGCTTAAAGATGGTGAAGGTTTCAAATGTACTAAAATGTGCCTTAGGTTTATGATTTATCCTCCTTCACTTTGGACAAACTGTTCAGATCTCATGACTGTTTGGCCCGTGACGGCATTTGAAGCTTCTTCCAAAGAAAACTGGACTTGGTTGAAGATCCTGAAGATGTTCCAGCTCTCCTCCGAAAGGCTTCTTTGGTTCTGAAACTAACTGGTGGACGGATCCTCAGAGGCTAGCTGTGTCCACATGTGACTGATTCTAGCTCTAACACTCACTTTCAAGTCTGATGCAGAGCTGGCTAAACACTGAAGCTTCAGAGTCAATGACATAGCAACCTGTGTGGACATCGACTCTAGAGGACCGGGCGGGGCAGGGACAGCTCTCTAATGTTTTGAATTTGCACTGCAGTACCCATTTTAAACACTAGTGTCAGAGTTACATATTTCTCCTTTAATACAAATCATAAAAAAGAAAACCGTGATACTGAATGCTGATGTTTTTGTTAAACAGTTTATCTGGAGGAATACCAGTGGGACTAAAAAAAAACAGAACATTGATAATAAACACGTCTCTGTTTCCTTCCTGTGCGCTGCATCATCGACTGGGACAGACTTTTTAAAGTCTATATTTGTCCCGCTCTCAACAAATATATTAAAAATAGCGCTTTGTTCTGTCTTTCCAACTTTTCCATCTGCTCTTACCGTCCACGGCAAAAAAGCACCAAACCTTTTTGTTTCAACTAGATATGAAAGTCTCTGAAATGCTGGGCGCTGCAGCTTTCAGTGAACATAAGAGGAGCAGATAGTGCATTTTCTGTCGACTATTTTCAGCTGCACATTGAAACACAGTCGGTGATCTATCGAGAGTTTTTACTGCAGCAGGAATATATATGTAGAACTTTTTGGGCCATTTTTTGACTTTATTAGATAGACAGGAAATATTGGGATTTGAGGTAGGGATACTACAAACACCCACGCTCACACATACAGGGAAGGATGCGGAAAAAACGCAGAAACTCGAAACCTGTTCCTAAAGAAAAAAAGAAAACGATGGACGAAAGTTGCAGAGTCAGTGTGCAAACATGAATGACAAACTAGACTCAAGTTTCTTCTCTGTTTGGAGTCCGCTGCTCCGCCATCTTCATCCCTCCGAGAGCATCTCCACAACCTTATTTTCTGCTACCAGCATGTGTTTCTGTGTGTCTGCAGGGGTCCTGCACTCATGACCCTTTTTATGGGCATTAGTGGGCGGTTACCTACTGTATGCCATTTGGGAACAACAGGCACACGATTTCAACTTAAGAAGATGTGAACTATTCAGTCGTTTAAGAACACGTTTATGAATGTGACAGAGGGGTTTCTTAGAAATCTCCTCAAGAGATAAGTCAAGAAAAATCTTACCATACTTCATAAGAAGATATTGATGACTGACGGCCAATTTGGGGACATTTTCAGGAGTGCAAAGCCAATTTGAAAGTGGCTATGATATCGAATCCTCAAATTCAACAGATGAGTTTTTAAATATTTGTCAGTGGGATAAATAATTTGATGGTTTTTGTTGACAACACGTCTTCAGGTAAACGAGTAATGTCCAGTGTATGTGTGTGTGTGTTTGCTCTCACCACTAGTCGTTTGATGAGCTGGTCCCTCTCCGTCAGCCTCTCCTGAAGCCTCCCCAGCTGCAGATCGTCACAGCGGGGCTCCCTCCTCCTGCAGCGCTCCTCCCGCTCGCGCAGCCTGCAGTTAAATCATATACACAAACACACATCTTTTCTCTCATACCCGTCCTCCTCTTCACTAAAACGTTAACTCATGATGGACTCCACCACGTGTTTCCACACGTCTGTCCTCTCTACTCACTCATTCTCCAAGGCCACGATGCGAGCCTGCAGGTGCGTCTGCGCGCTGCTGTACTCCGACACCAGACTCTGCATCTCCTTCTTGTGCTCCCTCCTGATCTCCTCCACCTCCTCCCTCCTCTTCTCCTCCTCGCGCTCCTTCTTCTTCTCCTCGTCCACCTCCTCCTCCTTCACGTCCTCCTCTTTCTTCTCCTCCCAGTGCTTCTGGGACTCCTCCAGTTTCTCCATCTCCACCCGCAGTTTCTCCACCTCCTCCTTCAGACGCTGCGCCTCCTCCTCCAGCTGGGCGTCCTTCTTCTTGTGCAGCTCCACGGGCTCGTCCTCTTTCTCCTCCGTTTTGGGATTCAGCTGCACTGACCTGGGGGAGAGACAGAAGATGCAGCAGAGAGGACGGGGAAAAAAGGAAAGTAGCTCCTCTTTGATACAATAAAAAATAGTCATGGCTGTTTGCATTTATTCTACGGAAAAGAGATTCTGAAAGTGTCTGAATAAACATTTTAAGACATCAGATCTCAAAACTGGATCACTTTAAAGACTTCTTTTAGTGTAGCTGCACCCCTTTATGCGGAATAACTTTCAAAGAACAGCTAAACCGCCCTCGCTTGTTTCATATTGTGCTTTAAAGATCTAGTGTCTGAACTATTCAGTGAAGGAAATTGCATCTTTTTTAAATGTGAAATCACGGCTCAGCTCTTCTTCTTACTTTTCCTTCAACTGCTTCTTCAGTGTGGCATTTTCTCTCTGCAGCTCCATCATGGCACAGCGACTCTCATCCAGCTGCCGCTCGAACACCTGGTACTGGTTCTGCTGCTTCAGGTCCTACACACACATACACACACACACACACACAAGCATGCATACAGTAGATACATTGATCAACATCTGCATCAATCCTAAGATCAAGAATGTATTATCATTCACTTAAATGATAAAAGCTGCTGCCCGATGTTATCACCAGGGTAGCAGCAGTGTGACTGTGTGTGTGTGTGTGTGTGTGTGTGTGTGTGTGTGTGTGTGTGTGTGTGTGTGTGTGTGTGTTACCTGTTGCAGGGCCATCATCTGTGTGTGTGCCTGTAGCTGAGCCTGCAGGTCTTCTATCTGCTGCATGTGTCTCTGGGTCATCTGTCTGCTCCACTCCGTGTGCTGCTGGGTCAACTCTGCTCGCTGCTTATCTGATATCACACACACACACACACACGCACACGCACACGCACACGCACACACACACACACACACACGCACACACAGTCAGATAAACATGTACACGCATAAACACACACAAACACAAAAAAAAAAAACAGAAAAACAAAATCAATCGGGCCAAGTTTTACAGGTAGCCTTCTGCTGTTGCCATGGTGAAGTGTATCCATGGCAATAGCAACTTCACTGTTGAATTTATTATCTCAACGTGTGTATCCACTACGCGTGTGTGTGTTTGTGTGTGTACTTGCTCATTTGTCCATACATCTGTGCGGGTGTGTACAGAAGATGTCAGACGCTGCATGTGCTTATGCTAATGCTCATGCACCAATGTGTTGATGAGTGTGTGTGTGTGTGTGTGTGTGTGTGTTTGTGGTACCCAGCTCCAGGTGGTGCATTGTCTGTAATCGGTTCCTCTCAGACAGCAGGTCTTCTTTGGCCTGTCTCTCCAAAGCCTGCAGAGCCACGGAGTGATTGTGTTTCTCCTCTGCTGAAGACTGACTCTGAGGCTCCTTTAAAAACATTAACACACGGACTGTCTTTAAACAGATACACTCCACCTTACTGTGTGTGTGTGTGTGTGTGTGTGTGTGTGTGTGTGGTGTGTGTGTGTGTGTGTGTGTGTGTGTGTGTGTGTGTGAGAGAGAGAGTGTGTGCATGTGTGTAGATTAAAGCACACACTCTTCTCTGCAGTGCTATCATCAAAGCTGCTCAATTATTCATCACAAAATGAAACAGAGTACATACGATTGATGGGTGTGTGTGTTTGTGTGTGTGTGTGTGTGTGTGTGTGTGTGTGTGTGTGTGTGTGTGTGTGTGTGTGTGTGTGTGCGTGTGTGTGTGCGTGTGTGTGTGTGTGTGTGTGTGTCTGTGTGTCTGTGCACCTGCAGCAGATCCCTCAGCTTCTTGTTTATCTCCTTGGTGTCTTGGACCTCTTTCCGCAGCCTGTCAATTTCGGGGTTGCCATGACAATCGTCTCCGGAGCACGCCTTCTTTTTCTCGTCCTGCATATTTTTGAAAAAAAACAACGAGCAGAAGGTTTCTTAAAGCTCCGTGCGCACGTCATCCTGAGACGATGATGAATTAGCAGCGAGTATTGGATTAAATGAAGATGTTGCTTTTTTTGTTTAGGAGTTCTGCAGACTCAGGCGGCTCTCTTTGTTTAAAATAATTATAAAAAAAAAAAAAAAA